GGAAATTAAAACAAACAATAGTGTAATGACTGAAAGGAGAACAAGGAAAAAGGAAGTGTGCCACCGCTCTGAGAATGGCATGGACATCAAGGATAATCCAGATTAGGTCCAAAAATGTGTGGTTTTAATTTTTTTTTCTCTCAGCATTGGGCAGTGATGATGTCAACTATGAGGACAGGGGTTAAGAAAAGTGAGTGTATGGAAATAGAGTACAGTATAGCTATTCAATAGATTATTGTGCTCAGACTGGGATAATGGAGGGTTTCCATCCCCAATTCTGAAACAGCTGGTGCCTGAAATTGCAGGAATGATAGTAAAGTTATTTAATAAACCCTATGAGGCTTTGTATAGTGTAATATGACAGGGAATTAGCAAAGGCAGCATCTATATTTAGAAGGGCAAAAAAATGTAATTCTGACAATTGCAGACCACTGAGTCTTTATTGTGAGGCTTAAGAGTAAATTTGAAAGGAAAATGTTTTTAAAGCATGGATCCATCAACAATGGATTGAAGTACAACTTTCACCCAAGTAAGATCATGCAAGAATTCTTCCTTGGTATGATAACTGGTTATTTAGACAAGGAAACTTATTAAATGTAAGCTGACACATAAGCTTATATGTGGTGCCATATGGAAAATTGTTAATTACAGTGGAGAGTGTGTGTATTGTTATTTTACAAGCAGGTACAAGCTTAATGTGAGAAATGCTGCTTGCCGTTAACTGGGTTCACCTAGCATCTCTTGTTTGGAAGGATAGGCACACTGAGCTCGTCTGTCTGCAAAATGTCATGTACCCATGAAGGAGATGAGGGATTAGTCAAAGGCAATAAGGAACTAGTTAGCAGGAAGGCAACAGCAAACAGCTTTGAAAGGAGAAACGTTAAGGTCCAAGGATTTCGCTAGTGGAATTTCTCTCCAAGTTCTCACCAACTGGTGTTGAACCAGTGTTCTTTAATGCTGTCACTGAGAACCTGTGGCATGAAGAGCAACGGCGTACCAGCGGAACTGCTCGATGATGCAGAGCTGGGAGATGTTAATAGAAAGTGGAGGCATTGTTAATACAAAGTAAGCTCATGCTATCTTGCAGAAAGATTGGAATGGCCTCAAGTACTGGAAAAATGAAAGCAGTGGGGTGGAATTCAATGATACCAAGTGTACAGTATCATAATTTCAGGATGAATAAGAATTTCCACTGTTAGGTGGGTAATAACAGTGGGCAGGAGAACAGAGAGATACCAGAGGGTGACTGTGAGCAAAAGAGATGCAAGAATGTGTCAGGTAAGAAGTTTCCACTGGAGTTAGGGTGCACTGCTAGCAGAGTACTGATGGCACATTGGTTTGGATTGATCAGGACGGAGAGCCTGCTTACTGAGATGTGACAGAAAAGACAGTGTTTTGTTTAGCCTATGTAAGGAAGGAAAAATACATGCTCTCTGTAAATAAATATGGGTGGAAATGTATGTGTTCTCTCTAAATGCATGAGCAAAAAAATCAGTAAAAAGATAAAGCTATGAAGCTTTATTACTCAAGTTCTTTGAATGTTTTTTTCCTTCTCTTGGACACTGAAAAGCATTACAAAAGCCATCTCTCACCTGCAGGTAACCTGACAGCATAGGATGCTGTGTGTTCTTACTGCTTTTGATTTAGATTAAGGGTGAGGGTGCTCGTGTTTGCCCTACAGGAATGAGGAAAAGATAAAAATTAGTTTTACCTTCTGTTTTGCTTTGCGTAAGTCTTGTATTTTTCCAGCCTTTCAGTTAAGCACACATGTAGCATTATTCATTATAACATTTTGACACAAAAGCAACAGCAAAAGGATCAGTAAGAAGATTTTCTTAGTCAAGATCTGGCTATTTTATGTTTGATATGTAACAATTAGCTTTTAGATTTAATTAGAAAATTTTAATTTTCAACAAGTAACTGTTTGCTAAAATGCAAAATGGGAGACATATAGAAGAAAGAATTCTCTTTTGCAGGAAAGTGGGGTGGGGGACAGAGAAGGTGGAAGGATCTATCCATGTTAAATAAAATATAAAAGCATAGGAACTTGTTGCTCCTTCTTTACCCTAACTTGCAAAAACATTTAGTCAAAACTGATCCATTTCTGTGAAGAGCTCTGATTTCCACAGCTTGACATTTTCCAAAGGAATAATATTTTGTTAAAAAGATCCCAAGCAGCTATTATTATTACTAGAGGTGAGCTCATGTAGGATTTTTGCCATCTATGAATGGATTTCAATATGCATTATAGGAGTCTTCCAAATGTTTTATAGTAGTGCAGGCACCATTGTTTTAGTTAGCAATTTAACTTTGTGATGGGAACTGTTTTTCTTGCCTTCTTCTAGTGAAGAAAGATAGCTCTCTTTTGGGGAGGATATCTGAGTCATTCATTTGTGTTTACCACTCTTCAGGCCTTTGAATGATGGGTTGCTTTGTCGCATGGCTGCATGCTGTGTACAAAAACTCTAGTGCTTCAATTGTTGGTCTCATGCATCTCCGTAGTATCAACCCCACTATGTGCTACTGAGGAGGTTGGCAAATGCCTACTTTTCTTCCCTTCGGTGCTGTAGCTGTTATTTTTTTTTGAAATCCAAAGCACTTAATTCTGCTGTTATTTTAACTGGTGCAAGTCAAATGCAAACCAAATCAATTCAATGCCATTTTCTCTGCTGCAAAACTGACATAAATAAGAGTCTTTAGACTCTAGTGCCTTCTGACTTTTGTCCTGAAAAGCAAATGGAACATTAGGTGTATTTTTATGATAGTTCTCCAAAGAGGCTAGCCGTTAATCTCTCCGTGAGTAGGTGTGTCAGCTGCAAACATTTCCTTCCAGCCTACCATTTCAATCACACTTCACAGTACACTGAAAATTGGCAAGGATGTTAATTATTGGCCTCTAGAACAAACCACCTACTTTGATTCAAGCGTGTTTTCCAATTTTTAAGAATGTGGTTTCACCTTCAGAACAGTATAATTACAGAAAATAGCTTGGTTTGGCTAACATCCTTGTGTTCTGTGAGTTCTGCTTGCAAGGCAGCAAGCAGCACCAGGCAAGAGGCTCACCTGCAGAGGATTTTAACCTCTTGTTGACAGGAGTTAGGGCTTGCCAGCATCCAGTACATTGTTTTCGGTATCGGGAGCCACTGTCACTCAGAGGTTAAACATTAACACTTTCTGCTTTTAAAGCTGAAGGAACCCTCCATATAGTAAGACAGTTTGTTTCTATTCTCCAGGAAACTTCCTGTTAAAATGTTATGAATGTCTCTTACAGCAGCAATCACAGCGGTGGGTCCTGTACCTGGGCAATGCAAAACCCTGGGTGCAATGTGACACACAGCAGCACGGGGCGGAGACTGGTTGTGTGGCTGCATTTGTGCAATGCAGTGTTTAATAAAATTTGCCAGAAGTCAGCAGTCTACCCAGGACATGATTAATCAACCAGCAGAATAAATTGCCCATAGATGATTGGGAGTTGACAGTAAATAGTAAAGCACCTCCCTTGAAGACTTACAGTCTTAATAGACAAACAGGAAACAGAAGCAAGTGGGAGTCCTGTTTTAGGAGAGAGATTTTGAGGCATACAGAGAGAGATGTTTGTGATTGAACAGTGAGTTTGGCAGAGCTAGAGGCTGAACTCTCTGCATTTCCCTTCATGCGTTCATGGCTCATGTAACAGGTCTTTAATTTACCAAGAAACTTTCCTGCAACACCATCCTGAGGAGCTGGCAGAATCCACAGTCAGCGTTTCTCGCACACGTGCTTCTTGGTTTGGGGCTCTACAATTTGTACAATTAATAACTTACACCATGGATTAAAAACATTGGAAAGCAGCCCAATGCTCAGGCTCATGTGTCAAAGAATTGCTGTGCAAGCCCGGTCTTATTTGTTGTTACAACAATTAATCATCCACTGATTTTAAGATAATTTATATGGTACCTGGGCCCTCAAGGGAGTCTTGCAGTGCTATTGAAACTGGACATTTTAAAATTAATGGTGATTAAGCTATAGAGCCATATTAAATACACACAAGTACTTCTTTCTCCTGCCTCCTCTTTAACCGTGAGGCCACACTGGGGCTGGCTACCTTCCTGCCCTTGCAAGCCACGTGCTGCAATTTCCATAATGGCCATGAGTCACAAGCCCTTTGCAGCAGTGTGAATAAACAGCGGGAGGAGGAAGATCCGGGAAGGTTCACAGGTGGGAGCTGACAGCAGTTGTTCAGGGATTCCCTTACTCCGCTATAAACCAGATCCTGAGTGAGAACACACCTGGATCCCAGAGCGAGCCGGCTGTGCTGGTCTCCGCAGCCACTGTGGGCTCTTCACCTGGGTGCGGGTTACCCGGCAGCAATCCTGCCGGCAGCATTAGCCAGCAGCTCCTGACGCAGAAGCCGTGCTTAGGAGCCCAAGAACCATGCACAGACCATGAGTCGTGCATCGGTACTTTGTGGCTGAGCGCCTTGCTTCACTCTCTCTGTGTTGGTCAACAGTTTTGCACTGTAGGAACATTATATCAATATGAAACATGTTCACTGATAAACACTTGGCTGAAATGAAGAGGTCTAACCTTAGCCATTCAAGAAGTTTACCATATACATGGGGGAAGCCATTCAAAACATCACTTTACTGGGAAAAAAAAACATATAATATAAACAACTGCAATTCCCATCCCTGGAAACATTCAAGACCAGGTTGGACAGGGCTCTGAGCAACCTATCTAGTTAGTGGTGTCCCTGCTCACTGTGGGGGGGCTGGATTAGATGACCTCTAGGAGTCCCTTCCGACCCAAAACTTTCTATGATTCTATGAATGCTAGAACAAGAAAGGATTTTTCATAAGAATTAAATAAGAATTAAATAGGCAGTGTTACAAACCAGTATAACTTTACATATTTAATTATAATATAGCATGGCTGAAATGAATGCACAAAGGATTGTTATGTTTTCAAAGCAATACGGATATTCTGGATAAATTGTTTATCATTTGTTTATCATTTCACAGGCAGAATTGATAGCCTTGCAACAAGAAAAAGAAGCTGCTCTTCAACAGTGCAAAAAATTTGAAGAAGAAATCCAGACTTTTCGTGTTTATCACAGGTACAATAATTAATACTAATATAAATCAATGACTCATAGGGGAATTTTTCTGTACTGTGTCTGACTGTGAGTGAGGAAATGGCCTTATCAAATAGGTATTTGTTGGAAATGTGAATACATCAATGAATCAAGGCCTGCATTTCTGCTTTACTGCTCACCAACCACCTCTTTGAAATAGAATTCCTTTTCTTATAGCCTAAATTTTCTATTAATTTCTTCTAAGGGAAGGGGGAGGTTGCTGGCAGTTGATTCTCATGCAAATGAAAAAGCTGTGTTATAGCGATGCATTCACTTAAAAACATGAGGACAAAAGAGCCAGTTGACATAAATGCTTGTTTATTCCCTGGTTGTTTGCACATACCTAACTTAATCAACACAGATTTTAAAATAATATAATCTGTAATTCTAAAAGACTGTTTTCTTTTACAACCCCAATAGAATATGTGTATTCCTTATGTCCTGTAGAAGTATGTAGAATGAGAGAAATAGCCATTCTCTCATTAATTTAGGTGGGCTGCACTGAACATTTGCATGGATCAGTGGGTTTTAGTCCCTAAGGAAAAGCTCTGTGTGGTCCAGTGAAGGAGTTAGGTTGTTTTATGGAGTGATGTTGGGTTACAACTCTCATTTCATCCTGACCTCCTCTGTGAGAGGGGATACAGAGCTGCCAGCAGGTTAAAGGCAGGAGAATTGGCATCAACACAGCAGAAAATTGTGAATCTGAAGGCTGAATGTCTGTGATGAGAGATGTGGGCTGCAGAGGTAAATAATAAATGTAGTGTGAATATTATGTTCATTGGAAATAAAGACGACTAGTTAGTTATGACTAATCAGCATTTTCAGAAGTAGAACTTTGTATGTTTTCAGTGTTTCAGCATTTACAAGTGAAAAATACTCAGCTTTCTAGAGGTTTTTTGAGTTTCCCCTTCTCATTAAGTTTATTAAAACCTTGGAGAGAAGTTTCAAAAACAACTTCTGTTCCTAAATCTCATAGGCATTTATTTAAAGCCTGCTAATAGTGAATAGAAACCCCAAGTAATTTGTGATTATTTCTTTTAATGAATTTGGTCAGCATTTAGTGTGTGCACAAATTCTGGTATGATTTACTAAGCTAGAAAGAATTTATTATAGTGCCCTTATTACTCACTTAAACCGGGTTTTGTGGAATAATTTCAAAACCAAAATGCAATTTTTGTATTGATATCTGTTTGCTTGTGTGTGTCTCTACATATTGCAGGAGATTTTTCATTGACTTTTGAGTTATATATTTGACAGAGTATCACGCTTACAGTAACATATAGCATTTTAACAAGTGTAGCAGGCAGCAGCCGCAGTTTACTCATGTAAGTGCTTTAAAGCTCAAAAATGTTAACAATAATGACTCGCAGGAGTCACTATTAAAATGTACCATGTTATTACTTATAGACCTTAATCTGAACAGGCAAAATTTCAGTGAAATTTTGATGATGACATTTGCAAGATTCAGCCATAAAGTGTGGAACATCACCTGGGGCAAGAACTATTGTATTGCTACAAAGTTATGCAAGTTACATACTAATTCAGAACATCAAAAGTGAAAGATTTTATCTCCTCTCTCACTGTCCTTAAAGAATGTTTTTTTCCTAATGCATTCTAACGTGGACCCAATCTGGACAGTCACAAACTGATTGAGGTTGGCAGGGACCTCTAGAGGTCATCTTGTCCAAACCCGTTGTCAAGCAGGGCCACTTAGAGCAGTTGCCCAGGACCACGTTCAGGCGAGTTTTGAATAACTCCATGCATGGAGACTCCACAACCTCCTGTGCATAGAGACACTATCTGAGCATACAGAGACAAGGCTAAGAAAGCCAAAGGCCAAGTGGAGCTGAACTTGCTGAGGGATGTAAAAGGCAGCAAGAAGGACTCCTAGAAGTGCTTAAGTAGCAATGTTTGAAGTCTCAGGCCTATCTTTTGCATTGGTTAGAAATTAATTGCACCGTTATGAGGATTCTTGTGAACTTCTTAACATTTCAGTTGCAGTTTCCCTTATTTTACATGAACATCTGCAGCCTCTTTCATTTAATAGTGTGACAGTACTTATAACACATGCCAAATGAGACAGATGAAGAAAAGAACATATGTCACGTGTGCATAAAGCTTTGGGGACTGTATCAGGCCAAGGGTGGGCTGGCCACAGTAGTCTTGAATGACAAAGCAGAGAGTGCATTTCCCAGGGTATCCCAAATGAGTGAAAATTTACTCTCTGTTTTGTATGTGGAAGCTAGTTAAGGAATGCTTGTGTGGATGTCTGCTGGGACTTTTTATTTCATTTTACTGCTTGCCATGCTATGGTAATCTAGAGTGAGCACTGAGACTGTTTTTCAGACAGCCTGTTTTAGACTGAGGTGGAAGTTTGGTGCTTTGATCCAAGTGAGTTAGCTAGATGATTTGCTGTTCAAGACTATGTTTGCCTCGAGTTATTTCTCTTTTGAACCGTAGAGCTCGCCAGTGAACAAAATATAGGCTTCCACATACACTCCACTCCTCATCTGAACTGTGGAGCTGCAAGGAGACCTGTTATTATGTAGGGTGCACATTTCCTTCACCTACTGTTCTCTCATCCCTTTGCCACCTTCTCCCACCTTCTGTTGTCTCTACAGTGCCAGCATGACAGTGGCTTGGGAATTTGACTCCATTCTCCTCCTTCTGCTCTTAGGTCTTCCTTGGCCTCAGAAAAAGCATTTTCTAATACCCTTCTTCTTTGTTTCCTTCTTTGAACTGAGATTTCTCCATCATTCTTTAACTTAGGAGAAACAAATTTAAGAAAAAAACCAAATACTAGAGGCTAACGTTGAAGTGTACAAGGGATACTTAAAGTCATGCTTTGACACACAACCACATTTTAGGGGTTTGATCGTACAAATAATGACTGTGTGCATATATTAACAATTTTTGAATGCTTATATGTATAAACAGTAACATTAAAATGAGTATTTTTATACTGACTTATCTTTCACTAACATTAATTCAGAAAAAGCCAAGTATCATTTTATTATACAAAATCAGGGAAGAGATATTTAGGTCCAGAATATTTGTATGTGTGAACTGTATGCGCACACAGGCATACTCAAAGGAGGGAAACCAGTGGACGCCTTCAGAAAATAAAAAAAAAAATCCCTTTTTTTTTCTCCAGGAGAAAGATTCGTGGTATCTAGAAAACTGCATCCAGTTTGGGCTCCCCAGTAAAAGTGAGATGTCTATAAACTGGAGCGAGTTTGACAGAGGGACACTAGTATGGTCAGGAAACAGCAGCACTTGCATTGTAAAGAGAGACTGAGGGTACTGCTCTTGTTCAGCCTGGGAAAAAAAAAAATTATTTGGTGGCTCCAGGGAGACCTGACAACAGCCTGGCAGCATCTATGAGGAGGTTATCCGGAAGGGTAGGCTCTTCACAGTGCTGCATGACAAGAGGGTGAGAGACAACAGACTTGAAATGAAATGAGAGTTTCAGACTGGTTATAAGGGAAAGCTTTTTCACCGTGAGGGCTGTCCATCATTGGTTGCCCAGAGAGGTTTTCCCATCTCCATCCTTGGAAATTTCCAACGCCTGACTTTATCGTAACCTGGTCTGATCTCATAGTTGATGCCACTTTGAGAGGGAGGTTGGTTGGGCTAGAGACCTCCAGGGGTCTTGCAGACCTTCCAGCCTGAATTATTCTACAGTGCTATGATCTGGTAGCTGCTGCTGTTTGAAGCCATTCGATTTTTTTTCTCCAACTGTGAAAGAAGTCTGTGTTGTAAACCATACTTCTTTGCAGATGAAGTCGAAAGTGAATCCTAGCTGAAAGTGGAGTTTCATGGAAGACCTGAAAGACCCAAATCAAAATTATAACGAGCTTTTGGGGAATAAATGATGGATCATTGATTTCCATCTGAATGTTGACTTTCTGAAAAGAAAGCACATCCCAGAACAATTCCAGCCTTCTTTAAAATGAAAGAGAAGTGAAAGGAGGAAAAAGAAAACAAGGAAGAATCTAGTTCTGGTACAGAAGAGAGAGGAAGTTGGCTCCAAATAAAGTTGGGTGGATTCTCTTCTTCTGTTTGTTCTTCTTGTGTTGTTTCTGTGTCATGTCTCAGAAGGAAAACTGCATTTTCTAGATTGTAACCCAAAAATACATATCAGAAATGAAAATTTGCATAACAGTTAGGAACAGTATGGAGTTTCTAGCTTACTGATATAATTGTTTCAACACAGTACTCTTTAAGCTACAGGTTAATGCAAATCATAGATCCTCAGTGACCAAAAAAGCCTATATCCAAATAATCAGTTTTGAAGTATGTGGGAGTGTTAATCCCACTACCTCTTTCTCACATAGCTCTGTTGTTTGAACATCATCACAAGTTTTTTATTTGCATAATTTTCAGTTATATGATCTGTCCATTTTTGTAATCAGTTTCCTTGTATTTTAATAATGCTTTGGAAGTGTACTTCTACATGTTAAAATGCTGACGTAGATGTATGCTGTTGCACACTGCTTATTTTTCACGTATTAGCTAAAACAGCACAGCTGTTTATGAGAAATATTTCTCTATATAGGGACGTACATATATATTTTCCCAGTTATTTTTATTTTGAAGTCTACAGTATTTCACTGAAAAGCTTTGGCACCAGGAGTTTTCACAGGCAAGTAATTTGAACAGATTTTAACTACTATAGCAAAATGTATGCCTGTAACATATCAAGCCCCTTGCAAAGAAAGAAAAGACAGCAAAATAAAAATACAGGACTATCCTTAATTAAAAGTACGTTTTTGATAGATGGCATGTTGGGGTCAGATGCAGTGATGCTCAAGTCAATAAAATTATTGTTTACTCTCCAGCTGTGTAAGATATGTACATCTGCGTTAGTTCACACACCTTTGAATGAAGAATAAGAATTGGTATGTTCAGGCTCTAAGGTAAAATTTAGTCATGTTTTTAGTAAGTTTCAGTAGTTATTTCAATGACAATTTAAGAGGCTT